CTGCTGCCCTGCATGGCCAGAGGGAGCCCAGGCCCATCTGCAGCAGCCCTGGAGCTGCAGAGGAAAACTCCCCCCTTGTGCAGGATCCCTGCTGCAGCAGAGCCACAGCTGGCACTGCAGGAGGGCTGAGCCCCCATGGATGGGGCTGGGACACCTCCCTGGCACACAGGGGGGCAGCTCCTGTTCTCTCTGGCAGTACTGGTTTAAATTACTGCATTTAAAAAAAAATTTTCTTCCCTAATAAAGAACTGTTATTCCTGCTCTCATATCTTTGCCTGAGAGCCCCTTAATTTCAAAATTATAATAATTTGGAGGGAGTGGGTTTACGTTTTGCATTTCATGGGAGGCTCCTGCCTTCCTTAGCAGACACCTGTCTTTTCAAACCCAGACACTCTTGCAGAAGGTTTAGGAGGGAATTTATCTGCAATGCAGGACAGCACTGAGGACACTCGTCCCATTTCTGACTCCATTCCCAAGCCCTGTGACCATGGACCCAGCAGCTGCCCCTGCTCCCTGACCTGACTCACACTGAGGACAACACCTGAGCCTGCAGCCTCTTACAGAGCCTTTGCTCACCCACCTGTGAAATGGAGATCAGGAATTTAGCAGGCTCACTGTATTTAACACATGCAGAGCCCTGAGACATCAGGTGAAAGCCAACCCCCCCTAAGCCAAGGTTTTCCAAGGTTCAGGACAGGAGTATGACAGGCTCAGTACTGAGAATGTGCACACTGAAGTAGACACTTCTCTGATCCCTTAAATACTATTTTTCAACGTATTTTACAATGAGGCATCAGTATTTTGACTCAGAAAAGTGACTATGTTTGTTTGTGAGCACATATGTTGCAATATTAGTAAACTTAACATTTTTCCAGGAAAAGATTCAGATTGTTTAGAAGGGGACTAGATTTTCAATTAATTATATGCTCAAGCACTAAATAAACATTATTTAGATTGGACTCTTCCCTTCAGGTACTCCTCATGGATTCCTGTTCTGTGTTGTGGCCCCTTCTTACCTGTGTAATTGGGAGGGCAGAGACAGACATAGTTGTTGATCCCATCCACACACGTAGAGTTATTCTCACAGTCATTATCTTCACAGTCATCTGGGTTTATCTCACACCTCTCCCCCTCATACCCAAGAGGACAAGAGCAGCTTTGGAGGAAGAAAAACAAAAAAAAAAATGTTAGCATGGATCTAAAGGGACAGGAGGTTTGAGGTATAAAACTGAAATTAAAACATTTAAAAGTCACTTGGAGCCAAATTCACTGCTGCTGTGAGGCACAGAGCAATTTAACCCCAAGTTTTGGTGAAAGATGCAGTCTGATGGCTCCTGGGGTCATGTAATTGTAACAGGAGACAAAACTCATCCTCTCAGGAGCTGCCATGCTCCCTTTGCTGCTTTATTGGGAACTCTGGCCCTCAGCTGAAGTAACCAACTCCAGGGCAGGAGAGCAAACATTCATCACAATATTCAAATCCTTGTTGATGTTTTTGTGAGAACGTGGACATCTGCCTGCTGAGGGCTGCACAGTCCCAGGACAGCTTGGCAGCTCCCAGATACCTCAGCCTCTTCAAAGAGCAGCAGCTTGAGTTGAGTTTACAGACATGAGCATTTTCTTCTCATTACTGCTTTGTCACTTGTCCAAACACGAAATGTTTGGGAATGATTGCTTTTATAAGTGCTGTAAGATTTCAGCTCCCTCCACATCTATTTGGAGAAGAGCTGATGATGCCCAGATAATTCAGCTAAAACACAGAGCATGGCACAGCCAGTAATGGCCCTGTGAGGATGTGGACACTAGTGAAGAATAATTGCACTAGACATTTTATCTCACAGGAGTGTGATGTATGGTCCCTAGGGGAAAGATAGAAAACTAAATTGCTGAAGAATGGCTTGATTTTTTTTTTTTCCATCTCCATTTCCTCTCTACATCTAGAAGCTACAGTTACAAACAGAACCTTTATATTTTAAACTATCTGTAAGTGCTGAAGAGGTGGAGGGCAGAGTTTCCTAAAAGAGAGTCTAAAACCAGGAGTTAAGTGCTCCAGTAATATCAGGGGCTTCTGAGAAGCCAGCAGTGATATTTGAAATGTCAGTTTTGAAGTGCCAGCATTGCTGTTCAGTAGTCACAGAAAGGGCTGTTTGCAGTCCCAGTCCAAACTACACATTCCCTCTGCTGTTCATTTCCTTTCTTATGCAGGCTCTGGTGGCAGAAAAGAAACTGAGCAAATAAAAAGCACTCCTGATTGATGAGGATGAAAACCAGAAAGCACTGCAGCAGTCACACTAATTGCCATGCACTGCTTTTGGAATCCAGGAGGATTTCCAAGGCAGACATAGCTGCAGGGTGCTGTTCCCAGCTCTGACAGACAAAGAGGACCTGAGGTGGTTCTCCTGCTTTATGCAGGAGATGGGGAAAGCCCTGGGGAAAAAGGAGCTCTTCAGAATCCATGAAGAACTGCAGGATTTTCCCTTCCCTTCCTGCTGTGTGCCACATCCCGAGCAGAGTGCAGAGAGTCCCAAGGGAGGGATGGCTCAAAGCCCTGCATCCACCTCAGGAGTCCCAGGCTGGATCAGATTCCTCATAATATGCAATCTCAGAAAGGAGTCATAAAGAGGAGAAAAAATGGGAAGGAAATGTGTCTTGAGCCACCACAACAGGAAGATCACCCAGATGGGTCCAGAAGAGGGACACTGGTCACATTTAGAGTCATCTTCATTCTGCAGGGACCATCCACAGGTCATGAGGGTTAGAAAACCTTCACCATGAACAACCAAAACCAAGCTGCTCCAATAAATCAAATTTAGGGCACAATAAATCAATAAGGAATATTTTCTTTTCCTGTCTCAAGCTCATTATTGCTAATAAAACATGTCCTCTTGCTGACCCAGAGCCAGAGGATCACAGGAGGCAGAAAAAAGAGCTGGCACACCATCTTCTGTGGCAATGCAAGTGTCAGGGAGGGGGTTAAAGATATCTAATTAAATACAGTGATACATTCATCATGTCTTGATTTTTGATTACAAAACCCCATTTTCAGGGGTTTATAACTCGCTCATACAAATCTGCTCCAGGCTGCAACTTGGAAGACAAAGTCTCAGTTTGGGAACAGAATTTTTTGTCTCCATTTAAAGAAAAGCAACAAGAGTGGCTTTGTGCTGGTGTTTTTTTATGTGAACATAATGCCATTTTCCTTCCACAAAAGGATTGGGACAGCTTGGGTGTGTGCAATTAAAAATGACATTATTAAACACTATCACAGTAATGGTTCACAGTGGAGATACCATTAGTAACAATTCATTTGGGATTGTTAACATAAATTGCTCAGTATTAGGACACATTCCATACTCAGGGAAATGTCAGAATAATTGATGGCATTTGGCTACTGGTCCTTATGTAGTATAGGGAGTCTTTACATTATTGCTTACGTACAGTTCTTTATTTTGATTTGCATTCAAATGTCCCAGATATGAGGCCTGAAATGAAAAGATAAAACATACAGCTTGGGACCTGGATTGAACCACATGTTGAAAGAATTGCAGCTTGGGACTGTTTGTATGTACTATCCCAGAAAAAGCTTAGAAGAAAAATGAAGTCTGCTGAGTGACTGGAAGGTCATCAAACTTGGGTTCCAGCTGACCGAGGGAGAAAATGAATTCCAGAGACAATGATGAGAACTTTGCAGTGACTCAGTAGTGAAGAAGTGTGAGACAGCATTTCGTGTGGATGTTGGAAACAATGGAGCCAAGCAGGAAACAACTGTGTTTTAATAAAAGTCCAAATTCCCTGTTCCTCCTGTACAGGGATTGGCGTTGTGTTTTCCTATAAAGAATTACATAACATCCCATTATCCAAGTGAAGTTTCAAGAGAACAAAAATTGCAACATTTTGGGGTAAACTTCTGGACCCAAGGCATTTTGAGAGGTTTTTATCAAGCTGGCAATTTTTAAAGTTTACTGTACTAGATTTTTAAAATAAACTCTAATGAAAAAATTTAGCATCTGTTTGTTTAAAATAGATATCCATACAGTGTGTCAAGTTTCAAAAACGCCTTTAAATAGATATTGTAAATTCTTTCAGGAATATTACATGGTAAAGATGCCTTTTATGTCTAGATCCCAATGGAGTAGCCTGAAAGTCTGGAAGTGCAATGTTTTTCCTTGAACTAGGCAGAATTAACACTAGGCAGTTAATCAGTTCCAGGATTTTACATTTATGAGGGCACTTACAGTTTGTGGAAAATGCTAAAAAAAGCGATCTGGGAACCGGAGGAGGTTTTTATATGGAGAAAAGTTAAAATAACCCAGAGCCTTTATGTCCCAGCACCGCAGGTTAGCAGGGATCAGCTGCTGCTGTGACAGCTCTGCTCCTGCCAAAGCCTCCCTTCCACATGTGCTGAACCACCAGGACATGTCTCTCTGGCCATCTCTCTCATCAGCCTTAATAAGTGACGTTTTGGGCAACCTTTTGTCACATCAGGCACAGATTAGATTAGAATCAGCAATTCAAAGGGAGGAAGAATGTCACCATCATATTTTCTGAAAAATCCCCTTGCCCAGGATTCTCCTCCTGGGAAGCTGAAAAGCCTCAGAGAAAAAGGAAAACAATAATTATCTGATTTGCTTCTCCTGTGTTTTGCTGCTTTGGAATGGGGTTTGGAGATTGTTTATCCAACAGGTGGCTGTTTGATTGGTTTCATGGGAATTGCTTTAACTTCCAATCACGGTCAGGCTGTGTTGGGAATCTGGAAGGAGTCAGGAGTTTTTCATTGTTCTCTTTTAGCCTTCTGTAAGTATCCATTCTCTATTATTTAGTATAGTTTTAGTATAGCATTCGAATAGAATAGAATAGAATAGAATAGAATAGAATAGAATAGAATAGAATAGAATAGAATAGAATAGAAGCCTTCTAAGAACATGGAGTCAGATTCATCTTTCCTTCCAACAAGGGGGACCCCAGAAAATACCACAGAAGAACTTCACACTTCCCCTCCTCTGAGCCACACCGTGTCACTTATCTATCCCCCCACACAGAGGTCACCCCTACTTGAAGGAGGAGAATATGAAAATGACTCAGGATTGAAAAAGTGCAAGGGTAAAAGAGGAGGAGGTAACTGCAGCTGAACCTTTGCCCTTGCTGTCCCACCAGGATCTGCCATTGCAGCAAACCTGAGTGCCTCAGCCCCTGCTGCTGACAGCCCTTGTGGGCACCAGGCACAGCGGGGGCCTTGGGCTGGAATCTCAGTCATAACTAGGAGCTTCCTGTCTTTGGGGGAAACATCACCACCTTAGCATTATTTCAAATGGTAATTTTCTTGTCTAAGGCCACAGAAACTTGAGAGTTAAACAGCTTGGCATTTCACAGGGAGAGAACTTTGGCTTAAGTTTCCTTTTTACAAGAGTAAAGATTTGACAAGTTTGGCAGCGGGGCTTGTGTATGAATATATTTCCCTAGGGAAGAGAATATACAGAAGATATAATTTCTTTTACAGGCCACACAACAAAAAAAATCCAAGGAGGCCTCTCATGAAAATGTTTCTGACATCCGCTTCCTCACAGCACATAACGCAGGGCAGCGTTTTCCCATCCTGGTGAACACAATTTACATAACTCTAACTGCTGCCATCCACTGGAGAGATTTCCCACCAAAAAACCCCAATCCAACCAAGCAAGTTCAATCCTGAAAAGTTTCTATATCTTCCTTGGCACTGACTGTTCCATCTCCACACCACATTTCCCAAAGTCATGCTAAAGCTCACAGTCCTGCAGAACCACAGAGGTTATGGACTGACTGAATTAAAAACAAGGAGAAAATGGAGCAGTGCATATGCTGAACATTCAATTTCATGCAGCAGGGTTTTGATGAGATATGGTTTTATGTGTCTTTTATTAGACCAACTGAAACTATATAAATAACTATAAAAAGCAGAATCCTTCCCTATAAAGCCTCGAATGTTGTTCAGCAACAAAACCACCCCTGCAGTTTTATAAAGGATCTCAAAAACAATGCTCATTTGGAACTGAGGCAAAGCCTCTGAAATTGTAAAATTCATTCAATGCATGAGAGAAATGCAGAAGTAGCTCTCAATTCAGGCCATTCAAAACTCTTTATCTGCTACCACAGAACAAAACATAAATGCTAAAGAAAAACCCAATCCAAAATACACGTGGAAGGCTCTCATTCTAGTATTATGGATATTATAAAATGCTTTACTACTGCATTTTTAGTATCAGCTATATTTTTGAAAAATGGGTACTGAGTGACAAACTCCAGATATTCTAATGTGGTGCAGTTTTACATTGGCACAAGCTGGAAAAAGCTGTGTACATGAGTGACCAGAAGCAGTGTCCTCTGTCCTGCCATATGCTGCTTCTGCTTCTGGAATCAGGGAACTATTGAGGGTGGGCACAGAGAGAAGCATTGGGGCACTTTTTCTGTTTACTGCTTCTTCTTTTGCAAGAAACAGCACAAAAATGGAGGAGCAAATCTATGAAAATTCTAGCAGCTCTTTTTGAAAAAGAAACTTTTTATCAACTTGAATGACGAGTGACCAAAGCCTCAAACTTGTATTTTCTTAGCTGTGAAGTAGTGCCTGCAGCAGTGCAGATCTCCCAGCTATCTTATTAAAATTTCTGGACTTCTCTCAGAGCATCCCCACCTATGCTACATCTTTGTAATATGGGCAAACTGAAATCCACAATATCCAGCTGCAGAGGTTATTCTCTTGGAGCACAATGCTTAAGATGTGACAATCTCCCCGTGCTTTTTAATTGTTTCTTTAAAGCCTGTTTGTCTGCAAGATTCTTCAGTATGAAAACATTTTGGATCTGGCTGTCAAGCAACAGATGCTCACTTTACAAATACAAAAACAGCTTAGATGTGAGCCTGAAATGCCCCAAGGAAAATTAGGATACAGATAACACAATGCAGAACATAGAGACTGCTCAAAAGCTCTTAAATGTATATTGCATTATGAGGAAATCAGGAGGCCTGTTTCACAGGAAATGATATGTCACACCAAGGAAACCAAATGGAAATGCCACATGCAGCAGTTTCTATAAAGCAGCCATTACAGTTCATTAATGCAAAGCAGAAACACATTAAATTTTATCATCTCATTTTAAATGAACTTTGTGCTACTACCTGAATCCATCTTTATTTGCCTCTGTGAGGTGGCAGGTCCCTCCATTCTGACATGGATTCTGAATGCAGGAATTTATGGGCACACTGCAGTCTCGACCCTATTTGGGAAAATTCAAAAGAAACAATGTTAGTAAGACTCAAGTTATCTGAATCAGTGTCTCTTGTTCCTTCACTCTACTTGCGGCACCACTTACAAGAGGTCTGTGGTCTTCAGACCCAACAACCCCTTATGTTCTTTATTGATGATCAGATTTATTCATTACTTCAGTGAGAATTTGGCAGGGCAGCTGCTTTATCCAATGGGACTGGTGGGTACCTCAGTATCACTTCAGGTTCAAGACTGTAATGAACTCTTTCACTGGAGTGTTTTAAGGAAACAGCTTAAAACCATCACTCCAACACACTTTAATGTTAGTTACAATGAAGAGAATGACTCAGGACCAGAGGTAAGCACAAGGCCACACACAGTGAGCACAAGCCCACGTGGAGTCAGCACTCACCCACTGCACTCACCAGGCTCTCAGTTAAACCCTGCACACAGCAGCACAGGCTCGTTACCAGAGCCAGAACCACAGGGGAGAGGTCCTTGGTGTGCTCAGAGCTGAGCTTGAATTTCTGCACACAGCACACCAAGAGTTCATCACTGACTCAGTTCCATTTTATAAGATTTTCCTAGAATACATCTCAGTTCTGACTGAACCTCACCAGCTTGAGCCACCTCCACTGCTACTGACTTTTTACTGACCCTTCAAGGCATAAACATATTTCTCTGATCATTATATTCTGCTGATGAGTACAAGCTATTTGTAAAACTGGAAAATGCATTGAAGAGCTTGGTTTTGCTTTTCAGTTGCTGACACAGTAGGGTGGAGTAAAGCCACCCAAAAGCCTCAATACTCAAAGGATCTGAGCAATCACAAGAAGTTCAAGAGATCACTCTGCTCTTCCTGCTGAAGTTCCTGCTAGCATTGTATGAATATATGCCAGCTCATCTGCCAGCTCATCTGATGGAAAGTTGGTAATTACTTTAGTCAAGAGGAAAAAAATATCTTGGGAGATACAATAATTCAGTCCAGGTAGCTGTTTTTTTGTCTTAATTTGTCTCTAGAGTGCTTATCTTGAAATTGGTGCATTTTTAAGCCTAACCAAGGCATAAAAAACTCAAATCAGCTTATGTGTGTGAACGTTAGTAAAGGGTTCAATTGATCTGGTCTGTCCACTCCTGGTGCTTGGCTCCTCCTCACATGTCCTATGGGTCAGTCCTACAAATGCCACAGAAAGGTTCAGTGCTTGGCAGCAGGCAGGACATGTGGCCATCATGTGAAGAAGTGAAAAGCCATTGTGAAGAAGTGAGGCACACTGATCATCACAGAATCACTGGGCTGGAAAGGACCTACAGGATCAAACCCAACCTTTTTCTGATCCCCAGTGTGACAACCAGACCAGAGCATCGAGTGCCACATCCAGCTGTTTCTGGAGCACCTCCAGAGATCATCACTCCATCCCCTGTCCTAGGCAGCTCATTCCAATGCCTAGCAACTATTTCAGTGAGGAAGATTTTCCTGATAATCCAACCTGAACCTTCCCTGGTGCAGCTTGAGGCCATTTCCTCCTGTCCCATTGCCAGCTGCCAGGGAGCAGAGCCTGACCCCTACCTGGCTGCACCCTCCTGTCAGGGACTTGTGGAGAGGGAGAAGGTCCCCCATGAGCCTCCTTTTCTCCAGGCTGAGCTCCCTCAGCCACTCCTGGGGACTGTCCAGACCCTTCCTCAGCTCTGTTCCCTTCTCTGGACACACTCCAGCCCCTCAATGTCTTGCAGTGATGGTGGCCAGAGCTGGACACAGCACTCGAGGTGTGGCCACCACCAATCTGTTTCTGGTACAAGCCACCTACCCACCTGGGCACACGGGGTCATGTTCAGTCTCTGGAGACCAGCTCCTCCTGGTTCTCTCCTGCCTGGCAGCCTTCCAGCCCCTCTGCTCCCAGCCTGGAGCTGCAGGGCCTGTTGTGCCCCAAGGACAGGCCCCAGCACTTGACCTTATTGAGCCTCATACTGTTGGCCTCCAGCAATATGTAGATACATACATATATTATGCATTTTATATTATAATTTCATCCAACACCACAGAGGAGCTTTGTTAACAAAGCTGTATTTCCTGAGGCTCTGTCTCCAGTATTCCCCAGAGTGAGGAGACGCAGCTTTGCATTTTAAAATTCCTGCAAATACAGGAGGGACAGACTTCTTTTCCATGGCTGTATCAAGAGAGAAACACTTCCAAAGGCCACCAGAGAGCCCTGGCCACCATGCCTGGCAGTGAGTTCATGTCCCAAAGGCCACCAGAGAGGCCTGGGCACCGTGGCTGGCAGTGAGTCCATCCCCACACAGCAGTGCCAGCAGCAGGCTCGCCCAAGGCCTGGCACAGAAACTCTCTGCTCCATCCCTACCCTGTGTGCCAAGCAGCCTGTCCTCCTCCATCTGAGATCCCAAATGTCTCAGGCAAGGATTGGGATGGAGCTGAGGGAAGCTCCTGCAGGTTTTATTTTGGCACCATGCGGCCCGCGGCGCTTTGCGGATGCGACCGTGGAACGGTGACACTGATCCACCCTGCTCCAGCACTGCCATCCCTCCTCCATCTGTGCCCTGAGTCCTGGCTGCTCACTGGGGTGTTGTGAGATCCCCAGGACGAGGTGAGAGATGAGAATCTGACTCCAAGTTCTCAGAAGGCTGATTTATTATTCTATTCTACTCCATTCCGTTCCATTCCATTCCATTCCATTCCATTCCATTCCATTCCATTCCATTCCATTCCATTCCATTCCAAGAAATTATACTAAAACTATACTAAAGGAAGAGAAAGGATACTTCAGAAAGCTAAACAAGAACGATACTGAAAGCTCCTGACTCCTCAGAGTCTGACACAGCTGATGGTGATTGGTCATTAATTTAAAACAATTTACATGGAACCAATCAAGGATGCACCTCTTGGTAAACGATTTCCAGACCTCATTCCAAGCAATCACATAATTAATGATTTCATTCTTTTCTGAGGCTTCTCAGCTTCCCAGGAGAAGAAATCCTGGGGAAGGGATTTTTCAGAAAATATTATGGTGACAGTTCACCACCTTCTTGTAGTGAAGCTGGAAGCTTCACTTTTATACTTTTCCTGTGTCCCTGGAGAATTGATTGTTATATAGGTACTTCACTAACATCAGCTACTTCTATTTCATGCAAACTCTTCACCCCTGTATCATTAAAATATTAAACCCCTGGCAGCCAAGCAGAGCAAGCAGCAAAGCATCTGTTTTTCTGAAGGTTTTGTCACAGCTGAACACCATGTAAAACAGGCCCATCACTTCCACTATAATTACTCAGATTAATTTGAATGTTCTTGTAAAAATTTAATAAAGATAAATGTTAAAATGAGAGCAAGGCCCCTTCAGTCTCTTGCACTGGCACATGAAGTTTTGCATGACAAATTCTGCTCTCATTTCTGTACTGAACATGGCTGAATTATTGGCTTTTTGGGCCTCAGGCAGCATGGAAACCCATCAGAATGTGCTGCTGAATAAGGAAATTGCAACAATGAGTTGCTATGTGGCTTTAAGAAAATTAGAGTCTCTCTGACTCAGTTTACTCATTGTAATAAATGGGTAAACAACATTTAATCCTTCTCTGAGGGTCATCTTCTCAGAGCTGTCTTTATCAATAGCAAGCCCACAAAAGAAGCACAACTTCTCTAACAAGAAAGACTTTGGAAAACAAGGAACTCTGAGAGGAGAGAAACTGCAGAATATAGTGGTACTAATAAATCTACACAAAGCAAGGCCATTTCATTTCTGTATGAGGCTGTCACTACCCAGAAGAGCCTAAAGACATTCTAGAAACATCTTTCAAATGAATAACGCAATTCTCCAGTCTCAATTTACTGTAAGACTTCTTACTGGAAAAATGGAATTGCTGTCAAGCATCACTAAAATTAATTTATCTCCGAGTTGGGAAATACTCCTTGAGTTACATTGCCTGGAAATAACTATTGTTACAAAGGAGAATATTGTCTATTTGCTTCAAGACTAAAGAGCCTTTTAATGAGGTCTGAAGCAGAAATAGAGGTGCAGACTTGTTTCAAGGACAGGCAAGAAGATAGGACTGTCTCAGCAATTCACAGAAAGAGGATGAAGGTCCCTCTGTGTGCAATATTTTACTTCTAGAGCCTTTTTAGGATACAATAAATTTTTGTCTAGTCTGATAGGAAGGCATCAGATCCAAAACACTTTTATATATTTTCTCTAATTTTCTGTAGGAGTGGGAAGGTTTAGGCATTGAAACAGGAAATTTCTGCAACTTATTACAAGATGTATATCAGTGTCCAGCTGTCCTTTTGAACCTGAAGTACCTCAGCTGGTCCAGACTTAATCTGGGCTGCTCCAGCTCCATTTTTCAGTGAATGAGAACAGAACTAGTCACCATACCTAGAAAGAATCTTTTTTTTTGTTTGAAATTACCCATACTGGGCATTGCTGTATCTACAAGCTGTTCCTCAGCAGTGCTGTGCCAAATTCCAGCTTTTACAAGGATCCAATACTGGGAACATTATATCATGATCAATAAAACACCCCATAACAAGTAGCAAAACCTAATAAGAACCCTCAGCAGCAAGAACAAGGGATAATAGAGTAAAAAAGGCACTCATTTGCCTTGACACTGTTTCAACCACTGCAGTAATTTTTTTCAATTAATTTTCAAGAATCAGCATTGTCTGTGTAGACCAAGAGTTTCATTGACACCAACATGGCAGAGGTTGGAACTCTGTCCATCCCAATGTGATCCTTCTCCTGTTTTATCAACAGCAGGGCACAGATAAGGGGTGGAAACCCCACCACAGCACAGGCAGAAGGTGGAGACCTCCTGGTGTGTAAAACCATCATTGCAGGAGAAACACGACCCAGGCAGGCAGGGAGACACCTGCAGACAGGCAGGAATCTGTCCAGCCTCACTGGTTTGTGAACAGGGAGAGCTCTTTGCAGCTAATTACAGCCCTGTTCAATGACTACAGTGTTTCACAGCACGCTGGAAAAATGAGCTCTACAACAGAAATAC